CTAGAACCAGAGCCCAGAACATGGTAGTCATTTAATTACTCAACACATATTTGTTGAGCTGACCCTGAATAATTGAATTAAACCCGAAACAACTAGTAGGACTTCAATTAAATAAAATTGGGACACAGAGCAGTTCTTTCCAAAGAAAAGAAACATACAGCATGAGCAAAATAAGAAAAGAGGAAAATGGTAGCAGGGAGTAATCCATCCTAATTTGGATGAATTGAAGTTTTCACAGAAGAGGTTATTTGAAAGTTTAATGATTTATGTGAGACACGTAAGTTTTAGTATCACGGTTAAAGTTGGAGTCCAATATCAGGGAGATGTACCCAAGAAGATGGTGAGGGAGTACAGCAATCAGGGTGGACTCTTTGTTTCAGACTTCTGGCTTAATGGAGGCTGAATGAAATTGGGCAAAGACAGAATTTTTAGATTAGAGAGAGCACATTTGTAGGGAGAGAGAAGGAAAGATGCAGATACAAGCGGGAAAGAAGGCAAGTTAGATGGGGCAGGAACTCCTAGGACAAATGAGGGCACAGGATCAAAACTGAAGAAGAGGTCCAGGGCTGGATAGACATAAGCCTCATCTTGGCTTTGCTATTAGCCATTTAATTTAATTTGAGGTAAGTCACTTAATTCTCTGAGTTTGTTCTCTCACCTGTAAAATAGAGATGAACCTTAAATCATCAGCATATGGTATGGAAATAAAACAACTTTTGTTAAATACCTGACATACATAGTATGCCACTATAAGAATAAGTGTTCTTTGTGGAATCATAGACGACGTATCTACTCATAGAGTATATGAACATATATAAGTGTTTTGGTTTCCTGGGACTTCTATAACGAAGTACCACAAACTGGATGGCTTAAAACAACAGAAATTTATTATCTCAACATTCAGGAGGCCTTGGCATTCCTTGGCTTATAGCAGCATAAATCCCATCTCTGCCTCTGTTGCAACATGGCCTTCTCCCTGTATGTCCTTGTGTGTTCTTGTGTCTCTTCTCCTTTTTCTTATAAGAACACCAGTCATATTGGATTTCGAGCCCACCCTATTCCAGTATGATCTCAGCCTTAACTAATTACATGTGCAAAAACCCTATTTTCAAACAAGGTCACGTTCTGAGGTTCCAGGTTGACATGAATTTTGAGGGGACGCTATTCAATCCAGTACAAGAAGTATATTCCTAACTTACCCTTACTTTCATAATGGTTTCAACAGACTATTATTATAAGTGGGATCTGGGCCTTAGAGGGAAGGAAAGCAAAATGGCTGAGGGCTCAGTTCATGAAATTTGAATTCCATCCCTTCCTCTTCCAGGTTATACAGCTTTGGAAGCCACACCCTCTTTAGTTGATAGTTTTCTCATCTGGTAAACCTGACCTAGTACTTCTGAGTGTTTGGGGAGGATTATGTGAAGTAAAATAGGCAATGCTTTTAGCCTGGTACCTGGCCCAGAGGGACAGTGCTTGGCTCACTCAAAAGAGCCCGACTTGTGCTCTAGGGTGAAGTGGAGGTTTTTGTTCACATAAACAAAGAGGATCCATCTTTTTTCATCTAGTTGCCGACTAAAAGCACTGCTTGCCCAGCCACTTGCATCGTTTTGATTAATCATTTTGCTACTGAGATTTCCCCATATCTTGTTGTTCAAGACCAACGTGAATGATTTACCACTACTGGTCACTTGCATTCCATAGAAATGCTGGACCATGTGTCATCATCCTTCAGTGTCTAGTATTTCAGTTTGCCCATCAACCTTTTTAAAATTTTTAAAAAATGTTTATTTATTATGTTTGGGAGAGAGAGACAGACAGAGCATGAGTGGAGGAGGGGCAGAGAGAGAGGGAGACATAGAATCCAAAGCAGGCTCCAGACTGAGCTGTCAGTACAGAGTCTGATGCGGGGCTCAAACTCACGAACTAGGAGATCATGACCTGAGCCGAAGTCAGACGCTTAAACGGCTGAGCCACCCAGGCGTCCCTGCCCATTGGCTTTATAATATTTTATTGCTGTCCTCCAAATAACAGCTGCTTAATATAACCACCACCATCATCTTCTACTTCCTTAAGTTGTTTTGGAAAGAATACTATTTAAGTATATAAACAAATAGCGTCTTAAGTTTTGTAAATGTAATATATTCTCTTGTTAAACCTTTATAACTCTTACAGGTAGAAAAGCTGATCTTTTATATCAATTTTTTTTAAATGAGAAAATTGAGGGCCCCTGGGTAGCTCAGTTGGTTAGACAGCTGACTCTTGATTTTGGCTCAGGTCATGACCTCGTGGTTTGTGGGATCAGCCCTGCTTCGGGTTCTTTCTCTCTCCCCCTCTCTCTACCCCAGCTCTCTCTCAAAATAAAGAAACTTTAAAACAATTTAAAAAATTAATGAAACGAGAAAAATGATGTTGAAAGTAGTTACATGATAAATACAACACTTTGTTGTATCCTGATTGATGAAGATGTCACGTAACTATATCCTCCACAGGTATATATCTTGGCTTATATTGGCCATATTCTAGGAGTTGGTTGTTTATCATCTGATAACGACATACAAAAAATTTTAGTCAATATATTCAGTCTGTGGTAGTCACTATTTTATCCTAAAGAAAAGTCACTATTATACCTTTGAATATACTTAAAACGTGGCATGAAGTTATATTGTCAAAATCTACATTGGTTTCCTGTTGGTTTGCTTGATTTAACACTCAATTTTGTTAGTTTGCTGTCTTCCAATATACTATACTGAGAAGCTTGAAGAACTAACGATTTGAACAAGCCCTTTGCTACTCATGATGCACTTTTATGTTTTACTTTTTTAAAAATTTATTTTCTTTTAATTTTTAAAAATATTTCTTTATTTTAGAGAGAGAGAGAGGGAGGGCGAGAACGAGTAGGGGAGGGGCAGAGAGAGAGGGAAACAGAATCCCAAGCAGGCTCTGCACTGCAAAGTTAGACAACATGGGTCTCGAATCCACAAACTATGAATGATCTGAGCTGAAGTCAGACACTCAACCCACCGAACCACCTAGGAACCCTTGAGTTTATTTATTTTCAGGTAATCTCTACACCCAGCAAGGGGCTTGAACTTACAACCCTAAGATCAAGAAACACATACTCTTCCGATTGAGCCAGTTAGGGACCCTGTTGCACTTTTTTTCTTTTAAGTTTCTTTATTTTGAGAAAGAGAGAGTGCAAGCAAGGAAGGGGCAGAGAGAGGGAGAGACAGAATCCCAAGCAGGCACCTCATTGTCAGCGCAGAGCCTGATGTGGGGTTGGAACTCATGAACTGCAAGATCATGACCTGAGCCGAGATCAAGAGTCAGACGCTTAACTGACTGAACCTCCCAGACACCCCTAAAGATTTATTTTTCTTTCTTTAATGTTTATTTATTTTTGAGAGAGAGAGAGAGAGAGAGAGAGCAAGTGTGGGAGGGGCAGAGAGAGAGAGAGACAGAGGATCCAAGTGGCCCAATGTGGGGCTCCAATCAGGAACTCTGAGATCATGAACTGAGGACTAAGTCAGGCTCAACTAACTGAGCCACCCAGGCATCACTTGATACATTTTTGTATCATGAATCCAAACTCCTTAATTTCACTGATTTTGTGGAGCGACGTACAAATACAGCCCAGTAATGTAGTACTATGTTTCCAATCACCAAATGGGCAAATAATCTTTCGTCTGAAGAACTACTGTATACTATTGCCTGTTATAAAATGCATGCATAATTAGGCAGGCAGGGAATTTTCCAGACTGACTTGTAAAACTAAGACCAATTATGCATTAATATCAAATCTCTGAGAGTACCAACTGCCTAAACCCAGAGAAGTAAAATGCAGCAGAATGCCCCGTAGTTCGTTTGTGGCAAGTTGGATATGCTCTAGATTTGGTATTTTGGCTCTACTTGTATTCCAGAGTGTATCTATACTTTCTTTTTGGTTCACTTCACAGAGAGTACAGTGATTTCCATTTATAACAGCTACATATGACAAGGAAGTGCTTAAAAAGTCTCAGTGCACATGTGCAAGAGACAACACTAAACTGTTTCTGTCTTCTGAATTCAGCGGGAGATGAAGTGAGAACTTTTTTCTCCGTGTTTCATTTCTGTGTCTGTGCTATGTTAGCCTGGTATTCCACCACATATAATTTTTTTTTTTTTAACAGAGCACAGATTTCATGAGTTTGTGGCTTTTTAAAAAAAAAATCCTGGGGGCGCCTGGGTGGCGCAGTCGGTTAAGCGTCTGACTTCAGCCAGGTCACGATCTCGCGGTCCGTGAGTTCGAGCCCCGCGTCAGGCTCTGGGCTGATTGCTCAGAGCCTGGAGCCTGTTTCCAATTCTGTGTCTCCCTCTCTCTCTGCCCCTCCCCCGTTCATGCTCTGTCTCTCTCTGTCCCAAAAATAAATAAACGTTGAAAAAAAAAATTTTTTTTTAAAAAAAAATCCTGGATGGTATCGCAGATGAAAGTGATCCCCATTACTTTTTAAATATCACTTTGCAAAATAAAAATGCAACCATTTTTGGGATTTATTTTGAAACATCCTAAAACCCCAGGAATGTTTGGTGATAGAAACCCATATGGATTAAGCAATTTAGAGATTTGGAGTAAATAGGCACCACTCGGCGGTGGGTTTGGTAAAGAGAAAGCATTTCAGCACATGTTCTGCCACAAAGTATTTGGGAGTCTTAAGTCCGAGCTTCAGAATTCCTTCTGAAAAGGACAAAAGAGAGACTTCCTGTCATTTTGATTGGTTTCTGCATGTGGGACCAATATGGGCAATGCAAAGTTTAAACAGATGCAAATGGTGAGGGGTGGCGGCAAAGCCTTGCCTTGTTTTACATATTTCTCCACATCCAGATCGAAGTCAGTCTCTCCTAGGAACTTCCACGGCGGACTTCCACTAAATTACAGCACGCTTGAATGGTTTATTTCACCAATATTTGCTTATGGAAATAAAGGGGAGTGACGGGGGAGGGGGAAGGAGAGGAGTGGAGGAGGGGTTTGAGACCGAGGGAGGCTCGACCACAGCACCAGTAACCTTGTCTGATGTGATCATTAACCTTTCTGGAAAATGCAGCTGGCAGTTCTCTGAGGCTCGTCATTAGAATGTGAGGAAAGCCACACAGATATTGCCCAGACTATTCAAAGATTGTTTGGTTTACACTGAGAGCTATTGCTCCGCTTCCGTGCGGCAGAAAAATGAGGTTGCAACAATTCTTTTGTGTATTTTTTATTTTTGTGATGAGTCTTCTTCTTATCAACGGACAGAGACCAGGTAGGACTTTGGTACATTTGTACCGAGCAACTTGTTTATGCCTCTTTGGGTTCGTGGGTCTGAGCATGATTACGTCCTGTTGAAAATCACTTAGGAGTGCTTGGAGGTATTGGGGGTAAATGGGTTGGTTGGCTTTCGGAAGTATGTCATCTATCCTTTTAGGTCTATTATTTGTATATTTTTAAAAGTTGATGGATTTTAAAATGATAAATATTTTGCCACTGTTTTTCTAAATTCAGAGAAAATTGATTACTAAGTTATTTTAGATATGTTGTCCTTACAAGTAAAAAGAAATAGAACCGTTTGTTCTACTGATTACAGAGGTTAACAAACTTACAGATTTTGGGGTAAAATACAAACTCCAAAGAAGTTTATTGGAAGAACATATTGCTGACTAGAGTGGGGCATCGTTAACAACTTGATTTAACAACATGAACACCATGTGACAAAATACAGATAAAATCTTGTAACAGGTTATTATAGCTTTTATTTTTGGTTATATAATTCGATGTCTCGCTTAAAAAATAAAAGTTTTAGTATTATTGCGCTTATAGAGCCAAAAATGTGAAAAATATTTAAGGTAATATTAATTTACTTGACACATTTTTCAAAGATAGTATCTGTTGTGGTTTTAACCAACAGGAATTTAGTAAGTAGAGTTATTCTAATGTGCTTTTACTTCAAAACCAAATATCTAAGATTTCGAAGCACTGACATGTGTAAAAAAAAAAAAAAGTTTTCTTATTCAGGAAAGAGCAAACCCAAATTTAAATAGAAAGGTGGTAATATCCATTCCAAATATGTTAGATTGTTTGGGTGGTAATGTCCTTCTCCATTTAGACCAGACAATGGTGCATAACTGGTTAAAAATTCAGTCTCTGCCTTTTAGTTAAACACAAGTTTGATCACTGAGGTTATTTCGGATGACGTCCCCTGGTTTGCCCTTTTACATAAATAAGAGAAAATTTCCAAGTCAGCAATTCAGAAAGCAGTTGACCCCTTCTTCCAATTTATAGCAATTGCTAATCAAACTGTTCTGAACCACAGAATACCTTGGACAATGTTCTTGTAGAATACCTGTGATTAACTCACTACATAAGATGAAAGATCCAGAAGCATTTAGGAAGAAGTCCTGTAGAAGGAGGAGGTTATGACTGCTACATCCTGCTATTAACACGAACTGTTAGGAAAATGCTTTTGGTTTTTGCGTCACGTTAATTTGTACATCACAATCACATCGGAACAAGTAGCAAATACTCACAATTTAGTTTGGATCCAAAATATTCCCTTACATTCTCCAGATTAAATAACAGTTCATTAGGAGAAAAATGCTCCTAATATTTCCTTTTTTTTTCCCCCTCAGCTAATTTGGCATTGAGAAGAAAATTGCACAGACACAACTGCCTTCAGAGGAGATGTATGCCACTCCATTCACGGGTGCCCTTCCCCTGAGGTATTTCTGATAGGAAATTGTTTTACTGAATTTAGGCAATGCTCCAGATGAGATGTATCAAAGAAAGTTTATTTATATTTTGTAATATGTGATAATACTCTTAAGGTGATATCAGTTCGAGGGATGCATACTAACAAATGAATAATATTGTAGGAAAATCTTGATAATTTTTGATCCTGGGAGATAGTTGTATGGGTATTAATACTACTGTTTGTGTTTAACACTTTCATAATTAAAAAATCACATACCAGGAGAACATAATTTTGAGAGTATCTTTAAACATGTGTTTTGAAAAACACTGAATAGCTCTGTATGTTCTCTAGAACAAGCACATGTCCCACCAAGACCACTGAATCCTTGAAAGCATTTGGACATATTTGTCCAACGACACCATGCAAATGACATCCTATCCTTGATATTCTAATAATGTATTAAAATAGTTTATTTTTCTTGACAATATATCTTTTAATGCATAAAATCAATTTAATATTAACAGCATGGCGGTTTTCCAGCCTTACTCATAGAATTGGTCTTGATAGTTGTTGCATCTTTAAGGGTAAATTCTGAATAGAATTTTGCTCCTCTCCCCTCTTTTTTTTTCCACATTCACTGAAAGGCCAGTGGTATTCTACCACCACCACCATTAACACTGCTTGAATCAATTAACTCCAAACACTGCCCAAGTTTGTATTTCTTCATACTAAAAAATAAATGACTTGGCGTTGTAATTATTTTAAGCTCTTTAATTCTTGTAAAACATCTCATCCTTGAAAAAAAATGCTGTAGAAATATCCCTCAGCTGGTTAACATACACAGGCAATTGTTAAATTAGCTTATTCAGTTGGTCTGTAGACTGTAGTGTTTATGGCACTATTCATTCATTCAGAGGAAAGAATGGTTGCCATGCCTATTGTTTAATACATGCTTTTCAGACCTGGTGAACGTCCTGTAGTAACACAGTAAATGAAGGAAGAGCAATTCAGTAATCACTTGTCAAGCAGACTAAGACAAAAAGCCAAATTCTCTACACCTGTATCTGTAACAAATGAACCTTTGCTATCAAAATATGAAAAATAGCTTTGGTGGAGACATCCAGAAAGATACAGTAAGAAATTCCTGAGAAGCCAATTAATAGGGACTAAAACATGCTTTAAAAGGATTTTCTATGCTAACAAATCCTTTGGCGTGTGTCACTAATGCATTTCAGTCTCATATACAAATAGTGGTAAAATCTGTGCTTAGGAGGAGCGGAGAAGTTCAAGACTTTCCCAGCACTCCCCCACAAATAACAAAGAGGAGCGGAGGAGGTTCACAGTAGCAAGAGAATTCCTGCATATATAGGGAAAGATACCTTGCATAACGCAAATAAAAGCCCTCAGTTAGCCACAGGTTGTATCAGCTTTCTCCACAAACCACTTGCCATAAAAGCTAGGGTTGCAAATAAACAAGATAAAGTAATGAAATTTGAATTCTCAAAGTTAAGGAAAATTTTGATCTATAAACCAAATTTATAAACCAAAGGGAAATTTAAATACAAGCCACGTAAACCACTTACTAACAGCAATCCTTTACAAAATTTGGCTGATAGCTGTAAAGAACTGCTTACGTTACGGCATCCATTTTGTCCGTGTTTAGACTAGTCCTACATTCCAGTTACATGTTCTTTGAAGAATGTATAAAACTCCCATTTTTTAATCCAGAGATAGCGTAAGACCCAATGCAGGATGAATATTAAGATAATTTTTCAAGATCTTGATTAATGAGTACTATAATAATGGGGTGCCTGGGCGGCTCAGTCGGTTGAGCGTCCGAATTCGGCTCAGGTCATGATCTCACGGTTTGTGGGTTCGAGCCCTGCGTTGGGCTCTGTGCTGACAGATCGGAGCCTGGAGCCTGCTTCGGATTCTGTGTCTCATTCTCTCTCTGCCCCTCCCCAACTTGTGCCCTGTCTCTCCCTGTCTCTTAAAAATAACTAAAAATGTAAAAAAAAAAAAAAAAAAAAAAAAAAACACTTTAAAAAATGAGTGCTATTATAACAAATGCTACCTTCAAATATGAAAGCATAGTTCTCATTGTCCTAAAGTTTTCATATTTTTTAGTATGTCCTGCAACATAACTTGAGAACCAAGTAAATCACTATAGACTTAAGTAGCAGAACTTTAAGGCAGAACCTCCCTTTTATTTATCCCCCTCTTTTCTGCATGTGTTGTTTGTTTATTATTTCGTTATTTACTTACTATTTTTTATATTTTGTGTAAGCTCTATGCCCAACGTGGGGCTTGAATTCACAACCCCGAGATCAAGAGTTGCCTGCTCTACTGACTGAGCCAGCCAGGCGTCCCTGTTTTCTTTATGTTTTAGATAAAAATCACACATTTGATTTGATTCAGTTAGGGACATGTAAGACTGTAAAAGGATAGGTAAAGTAAGCAGTTAACTTTGGAAATTTTCCAGATTAACCTTTTAAAGTAGTTTAGACTTTTAGCTCCTATAATCGAATGCACTATTATAATCTTTACTTTGTCAATTTCACCAGCTCCTGGAGTCCTCTCAGTGATCCTCAGTGACATTTCATGACTTGCACAATTGAGTAATTAAATTTTTTAAATGTTTTATTATTTAATTTTTGAGAGAGAGAGACAGAGCATGAGCAGGGGAGGGACAGAGAGAGAGACACACACACAGAATCTGAAGCAGGTTCCAGGCTCTGAGCTGTCAGCACAGAGCCCGATGCGGGGGTCAAACCCACAAACTGAGATCATGACCCGAGCCAAAGTCAGATGCTTAACCGACTGCGCCACCTAGGCGCCCCCAATTGAGTTAATTAAATAGAAAAATCTGTGGGGCGCCTGGGTGGCGCAGTCGGTTAAGCGTCCGACTTCAGCCAGGTCACGATCTCGCAGTCCGTGAGTTCGAGCCCCGCGTCGGGCTCTGGGCTGATGGCTCAGTGCCTGGAGCCTGTTTCCGATTCTGTGTCTCCCTCTCTCTCTGCCCCTCCCCTGTTCATGCTCTGTCTCTCTCTGTCCCAAAAATAAATAAACGTTAAAAAAAAAAAAAAGAAAAATTTGTGCTGTGTAAAATTCATTCTCTTGAGAATTATTTTTTCTTGCTGAAGTATGTTGGCATCACATTCAGTCCTAAGTGAATTAGAGTTGAGGAAAACAAGAGAAAGGGTGTCAGGAAATCAACTTTACAGGTTAATGTGAGAGCTTTAGAGTGGAAAATGAGGTAGGTAGGACCTTTAGATTCTAATGATTTTCCTCTTCCAAGCATAAAATCTACATACATACATACTCTAGCTTTTTTTTTTTTTTTTTTTTAAGTAATCCCTGGGAGCCTGGTTGGCTCAGTCAGTTAAGCGACTTGGTTTCAGCTCAGGTTGTGATCTCATGGTTCCTGAGTTCGAGCCCCACATCCAGCTATGTTCTGGCAGCATGGAACCTGCTTTGGTTTCTCCCTTTCTCTCTCTCTCTGTTCCTCCCCCACTCATGCTCTCTCTCTCTCTCTCTCTCTCTCTCTCTCAAAATAAATAAATAAACTTTTAAAAAAATATATAAATAATCTCTAGCCCAACATGGGGCTCAAACTCAAAACCCCAAGATCAAGAGTTAGATGCTCCACTGCGCCAGCGAAGTGCTCCTATCTAGCTTTTTAATAATAATTGTGGCATGTGTTCATGGTGTAAAATCTTTTCCTAACAGTATGAAAGAATGTAAAGTCAAAGGTGAGTCTCCCAGTCATTTCCCCGAGGCAATGGCTATGAAAAGGTTTTGGTAAAGGTACATTTTAAAAATATATTTTTTTTTAAATTTTTTTTTTCAACGTTTATTTATTTTTGGGACAGAGAGAGACAGAGCATGAATGGGGGAGGGGCAGAGAGAGAGGGAGACAGAGAATCGGAAACAGGCTCCAGGCTCTGAGCCATCAGCCCAGAGCCGGACGCGGGGCTCGAACTCACGGACCGCGAGATCGTGACCTGGCTGAAGTCGGACGCTTAACCGACTGAGCCACCCAGGCACCCCAAAAATATTTCTTTACTTATTTTGAGAGAGAGAAAACGCAAGCAGGGGAGGGACAGAGAGAGAGAGAATCCCAAACAGAGAGGGAGAGAGAGAATCTGCGCTGACAGCACAGAGCCTGACAGGGGTCTTGATCTCATGAACTGTGAGATCGTGACCTGAGCCGAGATCAACAGTCAGACACTTAACCGACCGAGCCACCCAGGCACCCTGGTAAAGGTACATTCTAATACATTATTTTAAGTTGAGACAAGCTAATACTCTCGTATCACTCTTGGTGACCATTCAAAATGTTAAGTACTTCTAGTTCTCTATTTCCTGCCTTATTCTTACCCCCTCAAAGTTACGGGCTTCTGACTCCTTTGACCAAATCTCTAGCCATGCCTGCCAACTCTTTCTGCAATTGTCCTGTTTATTGTCTTGGCCCTGCTCACTTCGTGCTGCCTCTTGGGCTGAACTGAAAGCCAACTGTCTTCAGCACAGAATCTCTACTTTTGTGGAGCACTTTATCGACAATGTTAGCAAGACTTGCTGGGAAAAGCTTCCTTTTTTTAAGTTTTCAACTTAATTTTCTTAGTAATGCATACACCCAACTTGGGGCTTAAACTCACAACCCCAAGATCAAGAGTCACTCTTCCAACTGAGCCAGCCAGGCGCCCCTGGGAAAAACTCTTCAGCTTACTCTTAGGTACCTCTGACTCCCGTTCAGCTCTATTTAAACCTCTAGTTTCCTTGAACTTCTTAACCTTTTCCAACTAACAACAAGAGATTTCTCTTCCCAGAGATAATGGAGATCTTCAAGCTTTAAAATCAGACTCTGCCCTCAAGCTACAAACATTTACATCTGCTATACTTCTTTTTTCCCCTTGGAGTCTTTTATTAAGAGGTTCCTCTCAAAAAAAAAAAAAAAAAGAGGTTCCTCTCCTGGGTATGCTTAATCTCTCTACATCTCAAGAAACTGATCTAACTGTTACTCGCTTTCTTTTTTAAATTTTTTTTTTCAACATTTATTTATTTTGGGGACAGAGAGAGACAGAGCATGAACGGGGGAGGGGCAGAGAGAGAGGGAGACACAGAATCGGAAACAGGCTCCAGGCTCTGAGCCATCAGCCCAGAGCCCGACGTGGGGCTCGAACTCACGGACCGTGAGATCGTGACCTGGCTGAAGTCGGACGCTTAACCGACTGCGCCACCCAGGCGCCCCAAACCGTTACTCGCTTTCTACAGATTGTTCAATATATCAAAGCTGATCTATTTCACCTTTTAAAATGAGGAAAACAGGTGCACCACTGACTCCACGGTGGTCTTTAGTGACTAGCCCATGTTCTTCTCTACATAGCCAAATTTCTTAAAAAGATGGCTATTTCCTTTCCTCCCATCTACTCCAATACAGTGCTCCCACTACATTCAGGGAAAGATGCCCAGTGACTTTCTTTTCAATCCAGTGAACACATTTTGGTTCTGGTCTCAGCTATCTTGCTATAGGTCAAATAGTGAATGGATTTTCCCTGGTTTCAATGCTCCTTTTTGATTATTAATCTCTGAAACAAATCACTATTCCTTTCAGGACGTGTATAGGGTGTCCAGTTGCCTACTTGGAATCACCTTAGCTGTTCTAAGTCACTTCAAGTTCAAGTCTGCAGTGCATTTGCACATCTCTAGCATGGCTTCTGCACAGCTTATCACTGTAACTCAGTTCTCTGTTCCAATATCATGGTTGTCATCAGGAAGAACTTCCCTGATCCTTTATTTTATTTTTTTTTTAATTTTTTTTCAACGTTTTTTATTTATTTTTGGGACAGAGAGAGAGCATGAACGGGGGAGGGGCAGAGAGAGAGGGAGACACAGACTCGGAAACAGGCTCCAGGCTCCGAGCCATCAGCCCAGAGCCTGACGCGGGGCTCGAACTCACGGACCGCGAGATCGTGACCTGGTTGAAGTCGGACGCCCAACCGACTGCGCCACCCAGGCGCCCCCCTGATCCTTTATTTTAAAGAGCAATACCAAAGTAAACTCTTACTATAAAAAAGCAGTACCTCATTCTACCCAAGATACTCCTATTTCCCTTTTCCTGGTTTGTTTCACTCCCTAACACCTAGTGCCATCTGACATAACATATATTTACCTTGTTATTGTTTAGTTAGTATCTGCCTCTCTTCATTAGAATGTAATTTCCATAAAAAACAGGGACTTTGTTTTGATCACAGCTATATGCCCAGTGATTCTAATAAGCTCCACAGAAATATCTGATGAATGAATGCATACTTAAAAGTAAACTCTTCAATTCTTCCCACTCAGGTATTTCTCCTGTGTTCTGAAAATTTGGAGAATTGTAGAGCTATCATATATTAGATGTTTGTTATGTATCAAGCACTGTGCTATGAAATATACAATTTACTGTCGCACTGTAGATTTTTGAGCTGGTGCCCTATATTCAGTTCTATTTGGTTTCCCAGGTCATTGCAATTAATGTACGATATACATTTATAGGGTCAGTCATTTCTACCTTGTCCCAGGTCAGTCATTTCTACCTTGAAATATTTTTAAAAATCTGCTCCCTCCTTTTCATCTCTGTTACCATTATCTTAGTACCTGTTACATCTATCCAGCATGACTTCAACTCCTTAACTAATCACTGCTCCAGTTCTGATTCTGGAAAATCCATTTTTTCTTTTATCACCTGATCTTTCTAAAGTGTAAATCCTATCATGTCACATCTTGATTAAAATTCTTAACTATCCCTGTAGCCTTCAGGATGGTGAGAACTCCCATAATTTAACAAACAACACTTTACAAAATATACCTCTCCAGCATCATCTGTCCTCTCCTCTCTCCTTCCCTCTTCTAAAGGGGATAAGAAAGAATCAAGACTGGCTTGCATGGATTCAAGCTCTGGCCACAAGCTCGTTCAGTGGTCATTGGTAAGTCACTTGTCCCCTCTAAGCCTCCCTCCACTTCCAGACATTTAAGATGAAGCTAGTAATGGTATTAATTTTGCCCTACCTACCATACCTCGCACATGGTAACTGCTAAATCGACAGTAGCTAGAGTTACTATTATTATTATTTTAATGTTTATTTACTTTTGAGAAAGAGAGAGAGCGCAAGGGAGGGAGGGGCAGAGAGACAGCGAGACAGGAGATCCGAAGCAGGCTCTGTGCTAACAGAGAGCCTGATGCAAATCTCCAGCTCACAAACCAAACCGAGAGATCATGACCCGAACTGTTCAGATGCATAACTGACTGAGCCACCCAGGTGCCCCTAGAATTATTATTATTAACGTTACTTTAAAATTAGTCTATTCTTCACCTCTTGGTGAACTCTCAAGGTATACGTCTGCCTGCAATGGCCTTTCTTTACTCTTTTCCTCGCTAATTTTTTTTTTAAAGATTTATTTATTTAAATAATCTCTACCCTCAATGTGGGGCTCGAACTCACAGCCCTGATCAAGATTCGCATGCTCTACTAAGCCAGCCAGGCACCCCTTTTCTTCACTATTCATCCTTCAAGAAACCTTTCCTGAGTGTAATACAAATTGTATTAGATGTCTACATTTTGCTCTCAACCTATTTGAGTAATTCTGTCAAAGTACTTGACTCACTGCACCTTGTTAACTGGCAGACTCCTCCCTTCCTTCCTCCACATGGTGTAAATTCCCTGAAGGCAGAATGTGGGTGTTCTGACATTGTTAAATTAAAATTTGTTAAAGAGGAGCACCTAGTACAGAACAATGAGCCAGGTAAGCCTTAGTTCAAAAGCTGACCTAAGATAAATTGAAATAGAGATGTTTATCACTCCAGGGTCCTGGAGGAAGTACACAGCCTGCCTAGAGGGGCCACATGGGGCGGGGCGGGGGTCCAGGGAGAATGCAGACCTAGAACACATGCCTTATTAGGGACTGTGAGTGGAGTGCTTTTGGGTTCCTGGGCTGGGGTCTCATTGATCAATTCAAACCAAAAGAGCAGGGGGGGTTGGATGGGGGATGGAGGTGGAGGGTGGCCCCATGAGGTTCTTATCTAAGGGGTACTTAAGATAATACAGGCCCTGGGAGGCAAGGGAGATTTGATCACAAGGGCTGTTGGGGAAGTGATATCAGAAACTTGTATTTGCTTATGACTCTGTGGCTGCTATCCATATGAGCCTGCAGGAGGGGCTTAAGTGTCCCGGCAAGGCCCCTTCAGGCCACTTAGCCACACAAAATGGATGCCGAGAAGCAGTAGCAGGGAGTGGCTCGGTTCACCTCTCAACAGTGGGTTGTATTGATCTTTGTAACATTAGCTGATGAAAAAGTGTCCCGAATACAGCAGGCACTCCATAAATGTTGCTGAGAGAAATGAAATGAAACTTTTAGTTATTATCTTAGCATTTAAGACTTACCTATAATGAGACCCAACACACACTTTTAGGAAATAACTGAACAGAAACTGCCAGACTGAATTCTGATTTCTATCTCTGTGCTGGAAGTGTTTCTACTCCTAGGAATTGTTTCCCTCGTCTCATTAAGTTCAAAACCTTCCCCTCCCAAAGGGATCTCTTCAAAATTCCATTTTCTTTTTTTATTTTATTTTTTATTTTTTTTAACGTTTGTTTATTTTTTGAGACAGAGAGAGACAGAGCATGAACAAGGGAGGGTCAGAGAGATAGGGAGACACAGAATCCAAAACAGTCTCCAGGCTCTGAGCTGTCGGCACAGAGCCCGATGTGGGGCTGGAACTCACAGACCGCCAGATACGACCTGAGCTGAGGTCAAACGCTCAACCAACTGAGCCACCCAGGCGCCCCACAAATTCCATTTTCTTTAAAATGAGGCCCACACCCTCATTCACTTAGCTTAAAATTACCTTCCACTCTCTCAACAATTACAGCATTTTTATAAGTATTATTTTCAAAGCTATCATATTCTACTGTATTTTGCCAGATTTTTATCAGTATTGGAATGTCAGCTCCTTGAAAGGCAAGATCTGGCCCCTAAACCTTAGAGTATAAACCTTTATAATGTGTGAATGGCCCTAAATGTAGGGGATTTCTGCATGGATGATGACATATGTAGGATCTCTTACTTGAAACTAAATGAAAATCTTAAAAAAAATTTTTTTTAAACCTAAATGAAATATAGAAAATTACTGTTTTCTCAGTTAATTATAGTCCATTGTCCAGAAACCATGCTCCGAGAAAATCCCTAATGTTGCTTAGTGATAAAATAAAACTTTTCTGTAAAAATCATGCCTTAATGATAATATATTAAAAAAATATAATACATATTGAACATATAAATCTAGAAACTGTAGTTATGTTATAGATGATGTATTATAATAAATATTCCCCTACCAAAATGTGTATATGATAGACTAAAGCCTAGTTTCAGAGTTTTTTTTTTCACTTTGGGAACCGATTTATTGTTACAAAGTATATAATAATTATTTCTGCAGATAAGTACTTAAAGTACTCTATCATGTTCAGACATCTAAAATATCTTTGTAACACATCTTTTGCCTTAATTTGTTCTCAGAGATGTATTCAATTAGTGATCTACTGATATCTGGTGAACTTTATTATTACATACCAATAACATTTGAAAAATATTATTCTTCGATAACAGCAAGTGAGTATTTGTTGCTATTTGGGTGACGAGAACAAAATCACTTACTGTTAACTATTGCAATACATTTCACCCTTGGATGTATTTTTTTTTTTTTTTACTTTTATTTTTTTTTATAGTGGTGTATTGAGGCGCCTGGATGGCTTAGTTGGTTAAGTGTCCGACTCTTGATTTTGGCTCAGGTCATGATCTCACGGTTTGTGAGTTCAAGCCATTTGAGCCCAGTTGCTACAGAGGTTATGGTTTGACTTCCTGCTTTGGTTGCTGTAGAGTTTGTGGTTCAGAGTTCTATTTTAACATATGGCCATTGTCCATTTGTGTGTTCAGTCTCTCAGTTCCAAACTTATTTCATCTCCAGTTCACACCACCCAAGTGTATTACTGTCTGCCTTGCACCAGCCTCCTCATATTTACTTTTGCTTCTCTTTTATCCATTCTTCATATTATCGCTTCATACCATCCTTTAGCAATTTTTTTAAATAATATTTTTTAATATTTATTTGAGAGAGAGAGCGAGCAAGTAGGGTGGGGCAAAGAGAGAGGGAGAAAGAATCTTAAGCAGGCTGCAAGCTCGCCACCCCATAAAAATGGACTCATACATCTTAGCAGGTACTCCCCGTTTCTCCCCAGCTTTCTAATCCCACACAGCTACTAACCTATTTTTTCTTCTTTTTTTTTTTAATTTTTTTTAACGTTTATTTAGTTTTAAGAGACAGAGATAGAACGTGGGGGATGCAGGGAGAGAGGGAGACACAGAATCTGAAGCAGGCTCCAGGCTCTGAGCTGTCAGCACAGAGCCCGACACGGGGCTCGAACTCCCGAAATGTGAGATCATGACCTGAGCCAAAGTCGGATGCTCAACCGGCTGAGCCACCCAGGCACCCCTAACCTACTTTCATCTTACAGATTTGCTTACAGATCTGGACATTTTATATACTTTTATATATATAATTTTTTCTTTTGTGATTGGCTTATTTCATTTAGCCTAATGTTTGCAAGACCCATCCATATAGTATCAGGTATCAGTACTCCATTCTTTTTTAATGATTAAATAAAATTCCATTCTATAGAAAAATCACATTTTGTTTATTTTCACTATGTGGTTATTAGGAATAATTCTGTTCTGAACATTTGTTTATAATTTTTTTTTAAGTTTATTTAGTTTGAGACAGAGCACAAGCAGGGGAGAAGCAGAGAGAGGGATGGAGAGAGAGAATCTCAAGCAGGCTCTCTACTGTTAGTACAGAGTCTGCTTCAGATCCTCTGTCTCTTTCTCTCCCCCTCCCCTGCTCACGCTCTCTCTCTCAAAAATTAATAAACATTAAAATTGTTGTTGTTGTTTGAGAGGCACCTGGGTGGCTCAGTCAGTTAAGCATCCAACTCTTGATTTTGACTCAGGTCATGATCTCATGGTTCATGAGTCTGAGCCCCATGTTTGAGCCCCATGTTGGGCTCTGCACTTTTAGTGCAGATTGGGAGTCTCTGTCTCCCTCTTTCTCTGCCCCTCCCCTGTTCAAAACTATATAAAACAAGGGTGCCTGGGTGTCTCAGTGGATTAAGCGTCCAGCTCTTGGTTTCAAATCAGGTCATGATCTCACGGATGGGGAGTTCAAGCCCCATACGGGGCTCTGTGCTGACAGCACAGAACTTGCTTGGGATTCTGTCTCCCTCTCTCTCTTCCCCTTCCCTGCTCGCTCTCTATCTCATTCTTTCAAAAATAAATAAATAAGCATTTAAAAATAAATAAAACATTAAAAAAATTTTGTTTGAACATATGCTTTCGATTCTCTAGAGTATATACTTAAGAGTGAAATTGCTGGTTATATGGTTATTCTATGTTTAACTTATTGAAGAACTGCCAAACTGTTTTCCATAGTGGCTGCAGCATTTTGCATTTTACATTCCTACCAGGAGTATATAAGTGTTCCAATTTCTCTGCATCCTCACCAACACTTTTTATTATAACCTTCCTAGAGGTTGGTACGGTAGTCCCCCCTCGTCCACGATTTTGCTGCCTGTGGTTTCAGTTACTTGTAGTCAGCTGTGTTTCAGAAGCAGATGATCCTCCTTCTGACCTATCTTCAGGTCAACAGTTGCGTAACACGATATCCTAATGCCTACATCATTCACCACACTTCATCTCATCACGTAGACATTTTATCATCCCACGTTGCCACAAGAAAGGGTGAGTATAGTATAATTAGATATTTTGAGAGAAAGAGAGACCACATTCACATAACTTTTATTACAGCTTATTATTATAATTGTTCTATTTTGTTACTAGTTCTTGTTAATCTCTTACTGTGCCTAATTTATAAACTAAA